TAATAATAATAATAATAATTTATTGTCATTGTAAGTATATACACAGTATGCCCATACAACGAAATTCACAGACACCCAGAGACCAGACACAAGCACACACATAACATTCCCCAAACACTCCCCACCCACTAAAAAATTCCCCACTAAAAATACAAACATCTACACCTCAGGCCAAGTAACACAGTCCAACTAATTATTCACTACTGGTGGTCTTTAAGCTCATTATTAATTGCAGTTATAGCTCTAGGATAAAAACTATTTAGAAAACGTGTGGTCCGAGTCTTAATTGTTCTATATCTTCTGCCAGACAGTAACAGTTCAAAAAAGTTATAAGCAGGATGGGAAGAGTCTCTCAGGATGCTGTGTGACTTCCTCAGACAGCGGGATGTGAAGATGTCATCCAGGGTTGGTAGCTGGAGCCCGATGATATTATAGGCAGGTTGCTTAATGTACTTGTGGCCTAATGTCTCCAAGGGAAGCAGCTTCTAGTGAAATGAAGCCGCTGGGATGGAAACCCAGTCCTGTGGTAAGAGTGGGCCAGGGTTCCCTCTTTCCACCATGCACAGACACCATAAAAACTGGAAGTAAGTGCTTTGTCCTACTCTATGATTCATTGGATGTGGAGGGAGGGAGGAGAAGAATCCACTGTGCCTCCAGCTCAGTTTGGCAGTACCCCAAGGTGCCACAGTACACTGCGAACTGCTGGGATAGACAGATGGGAGTCACTATCTAGCAACATCTGGATTGCCCCTCTTAGTTTTAAAATGTAAGCTGCAACCCAAAAGTCATAATACCCTCACATATGCTCTTAAATTATTCAAGGCTGCTGACAACAGTTATGTACGTGTTCCATTTCTTACTGCTTGACTTACACTGAGTAGCACAATAAGGTCTGACATGCTTCCATTTGGCAACATGCTGTGGCACAAGTTGTTCCTTGTATTATAGCTGGAACAACCGTTGTCCATTATTGAGTTTCTTGAATAGCTTCCTTTTACAGCTGTGACAAAGTCACAAAAAGACTGCATATGCAATTTATGAATACTGCTTTTGCAGCAGCATTGAATGTCCTTTTCAATACATTTGAAGAAAATAACATAGATGTGCTTGTGATGAAGAAAATTCAAAAATCCTAGTTGTGTTTTCCTGGCTGAAGTGATATGATTGACTGGCATAATCGGTATCTTAGGCCAAGAGGGTAAAGTTGTTTTGTATAAAGACCTGCCTTCTCATAAAAAAAGAGAGCATACTTTAATAGCTAAAATATTTGAGAGAAATGCATAATTTAAATAATGTAACAATTTACTATTGTTTTCACTTATAGAAATTTGAAGCAGCCACAGTATTAAACAGCTTCTCCCCCATTTGTTTTGCTTCCTGTGGGTTCCCTGTACAGTCATGACAACTCGGACATTTGCATGTGTGTGTCTGTGTGATGTACACCCACCAAGATGCAGTGGATAAACTGAGAAATTGCTCAAGAAGACAAACTTCATTCTGCCAAGCTTCGTGCTGAATGAAGCTCTTATCACACTTTATCCAGTGCTAGCTTTTTAGGCAGTGGCATTGAATTGTACAAGATGTTCTCTCCAGGAAGAGGAGAGGAATTAGCAGGATGTACTCTTAACCTTAATGGCTAAAATCATCAAAACAAATTACAGGACTATTCAGATATCATTTGGTATATCTTGGGAGGGAAACTGGGGGATGGATAATTTAAGAAGAGCAACAAACCAATGTCAAACAAACTAAGCTGCAAATTAAAGTCTCTGTGTTGAATTACAGCCAAGAAAGTATGCCTCAATTGGAATAAAAATACAAAGTCTGGAGCCCAATCATTTTGAGCATAGTTTCATTCTCATTTATTTTTTTGAAAAGCCAAATGTACTTTTAAATCAATGGTCTTATGTGACCTCAGAGAACCTAATGAAGTTCACTGCTTTTCTTAACTGCCCAAAAAATGAAAGCAATTTGATGGAAATTTAGAATGTAGTAATTGTCCTTTTTTCCATGTCAACTGGTTTGAAGCCTTTTGTTGTTGTTGTTGTTGCAGAAAAGTGGTATATAAATACTCTAAAAGATGTTCTGGCAAACCAGTAGCCTCCATAAACCTCATCACCCCCAGCCAGTACAGCCAAAATTTAGAGCGCACCAGATTGGGGAGAATTTACTCCAAAGGAATAGTGACTCTGCCCATTGTACAGGACCATCCAGAAGACATGAGTTCTGTTAAACTGAGTGCTGAGACCCTCTGTAATTCAGCCTTCTCTTTCTTATGGCATCGGACTGCATTGTACCTGGAGGCATTTTAAGGAATTGTTTTTTATTCGTTAAGTCGTGTCCGACTCTTCGTCAGCCCATGGACCAGAGCACATCAGACCCTCCTGTCTTCCACTGCCTCCCGGACTTTGGTCAGATTGATGTTGGTAGCTTCGTTGACACTGTCCAACCACCTCGTCCTCTGTTGTCCCTTCTCCTCTTGCCTTCACTCGTTCCCAACATCAGGGGCTTTTCCAGGGAGTATTCTCATGAGATGGCCAAAGTATTGTAGCCTCAGCTTCAGGATCTGTCCTTCCAGTGAGCACTCAGGGTTTATTTCCTGCAAAATGGATAGGTTTGTTCTCCTTGCAGTCCAGGGGACTTTCAAGAGTCTCCTCCAGCACCACAATCCAAAACATCAATTCTTCAGTGGCCAGCCTTCTTTATGATCCAGCTCTCACTTCCATACATTGCTACTGGAAAAACCATACCTCTGATTATGTGGACCTTTGTCGACAAGGTAATGTCTCTGCTTTTTAAGATGTTGTCTAGGTTTGCCATCGCCTTCCTCCCAAGAAGCAGGCATCTTTAAATTCCATGGCTCCTGTCACCATCTGCAGTGATAATGGAGCCCAAGAAAGTAAAATCTGTCACTGCCTCCATATCTTCCCCTTCTATTTGCCAGGAGGTGATAGGACCAGTGGCCATGATCTTAGTTTTTTGATGTTGAGCTTCAGACCATTTTTGCGCTCTCCTCTTTCACCCTCATTAAGAGGTTCTTTAAGTCCTCCTCACTTTCTGCCATCAGAGTGGTATCATCTGCATATCGGAGGTTGTTGATATTTCTCCCTGCAATCTTAATTCCAGTTTGGGATTCATCCAGTCCAGCCTTTGGTATGATGTATTCTGAATATAAGTTAAATAAGCAGCAAGACAATATACAGCCTTGTCGTACTCCTTTCCCAATTTTGAACCAATCAGTTGTTCTATATCCAGTTCTAATTGTTGCTTCCTGTCCCACATATAGATTTCTCAGGAGATAGATACGGTGGTCAGGCACTCCCATTTCTTTAAGAACTTGCCATAGTTTGTTGTGGTTCACACAGTCAAAGGTTTTTGCGTAGTCAATGAAGCAGAAGTAAATGTTTTTCTGGAACTCTCTGGCTTTCTCCATAATCCAGTGCATATTAGCAATTTGGTCTCTAGTTCCTCTGCCCCTTCGAAATCCAGCTTGTATTTCCCGGAATTCTCAGTCCACATACTGCTGAAGCCTACCTTGGAGGATTTTGAGCATAACCTTGCTAGTGTGTGAAATGAATGCAATTTTACGATAGTTGGAGCATTCTTTGGCAGTGTCTTTCTTTGGGATTGGGATGTACGTAGACTGATCTTTTCCAATCCTTTGGCCACTGCTGAGTTTTCCAACTTGCTGGCATATTGAGTGGAGCACCTTAACAGCCTCATCTTTTAAGATTTTAAATAGTTCAACTAGGATGCCATCACCTCCACTGGCCTTGTTGTTAGACAAGCTTTCTAAGACCCACTTGACTTCACTCTCCAGGATGTCTGGCTCAAGGTCAGCAACCACACTGTCTGGGTTGTCCAGGACATCCAGACCTTTCTGGTATGATTCCTCTGTGTATTCTTGCCACCTCTTCTTGATAACTTCTGCTTCTATGAGGTCCCTACCATTTTTGTCCTTTATCATGTAATCTTTGCAGAAAAGGTTCCTGTAATATCTCCAATTTTCCTGAACAGATCTCTGGTTTTTCCTTTTCTATTATTTTCTTCTATTTCTTTGGATTGTTCATCTGAGAAGGCCCTCTTGTCTCTCCTTGTTATTCTTTGGAAGTTAGCATTAAATTTTCTGTAACTTTCCCTATCTCCCTTGCATTTTGTTTCCCTTCTCTTCTCTACTATTTGTAAGGCCTCTTTCGACAGCCACTTTGCTTTCTTGCCTTTCCTTTTTTGGGGGATGCTTTTTG